AATTTAACTTTATAATTTTCTACAACATACCTACATGGAAAACGGTTTTCGAAATTTCATCTGTGTAAACGTATGTAAATGCGCCACAAAAACCAGCTGAGAGACCGCCTGGACAATCTTCCAGAGATATAGGATCACCCAGAAGTCTAAAATTTCAAAATACAACAAATTGGTTCGAACACCTAATAATTTAGTAATGAATGTTATTCAAAAAATTACCGCAAAAAACTAGCGTAACGCGTTGAACCATACACATTTCCTAAAATTTCGGATTCCTTAGTCTGGCCATATGCAATGTAGACAACACCAACTGTGTGCAATTCAAGCGATGATATTCGATCGATATTGCGTAGAGACCTCAATCTGTAAAAAACGTTTTGTAGATACTACTATTATTTACAAGATTTTTTAGTTTCTCAAAGGAAAGAATTGATGAATTCTTTAAAACAGTGAGAATGTACATTTTGTTTTTATCACCAACTGATATCTGGACAGCTTTGTTATCATTTGCGAGAAGTTTTAAAATCGACAATCCCTCGTCAATACCATAGAAATTGTCCGCTAAAACACATAAGGTAAATTTTTTCTGAGAACTACCATAATATTTAAACTGTATAAATTTACTCTCATTCCCACAATCTCCTAATAAGATAACAAGCAATAAATTTCCGATTCAAAAGTAGTTTAAAAACGATGATCTCATGAGATGGTTGATTTAGTCTAACTGCTAGAACAGTTTGGCCTTCTCCAAGAACACTGTTTGCATTAAAAACATTAATTGACTGTACATGTTAATCCTCGAAGTGTAAAGCAATAAGCTGGTTAATATAACAAAATTTCATTCACATTTTGGTCTCTTTCATTCCCCTTAGAATTGATATTGAATAAATAACCGCGAACCTGCTCCGAAATCATCAGGGAAATCTTTCAGTGACCGCATGTACCATGAATATTTACCAAAGATATGTCGTACAACAATCTGAATCCACGTCACCACCGGAACACGAAATTTTTTTGATTCGTATTTTGCCACTGTACATAAGTCATCCAGAGTTGGGCGGTAAGGGACTACATATTTCCTTGAAAATGAAAATGTGCTTTTATACTGATTTAGACACAATTCTCAAGTTATAAATCAAATGACAAAAATAAATAAATTAGTACTCGTTTGGGCGATGCACTGCTGATTGATGGCGTCGTCTCCTATCAAAATTTGGTATTTCTATATCCAGCGTTTGGGCTACTGGATTTTCTTCACCAGCATCTAAAAATCAGTATTATTCAACAGTGGTCTAATGGCTTTCCCAAACAAAATAAACTACATAGCATCGCAGAAAAATTTCATAATGTATAGTGGTAAAATTTTGAGGGGTTGTAAAAAGCCTTTGAAGAAATTGTTGCTTTATTGATAAAATTTGTCAACGTATTATTAATACAGATATTTTATGTTCTAATAAACCTGCACAACAAATAGTCATTTACTCGTTTCAAATGTTCTACTCGTTGCGCTTGATGGACTTTCAGTAAAACTGGTGACAGAAATGACTATATCATTAATAACCCAGTGGTTTGACCAGCGCTCCACCAGCTTCGTATTTGGCATCGATTGAGTGGGTAGTGCATCACTAATTTTACTGTGTTTCATGAACGTTTTCAGTGCTTTAATTGTTTCTTCGGCCAACTATAACGTTAACAGTACTTAAATGATGGATAATTAATACATTACATATCGCCTACATTCTGAGGCATTTTCAAATTATCCAAATTTCGTCTCAGATTTCGGGAATGATTCCGCATTTGTAGAAACAAGGATAACAACCGAGATTAGAAAACAAAAACCTCATTTCTCAGGGTCGTATCCTCATTTGTAGTCGTTTCTTTTCGATTAGCTGTGTCAAACGAAAAGGCACTCGTAGTTGGTATGCCAAAATCTGATGAATGTCGTTCATCTGAATGTTCTTTTGCATTTCTGACGTTCGACAGACAAGTTTTTGCCTCTTCCTCAATCTGCAAAACATTTTAAGGTAATGTAATGACATTCACAACAATGTAACGGTGAAAAGTTCGTTTAATCTGCCATACTTCCCGTTTCATATATTAGCAAAAACTTTTAATTTCCACTCACCTTATTCACAATATAATTGCATATTGTTGGTTTTATTGCATCAGACATTTTCGTATACCATCTCATTAGGGAACGAAACGCAGCAGCAACAATAAAAGTGTTGTATCGATGAACGCTTGTGTAGGGTGCCAATATGTCAATAACAAATTTGAAGTGCTTGATCTGTAAGTTGAACCGATTTGAAAATCTTTGAAAATATTCTCCTTTCAATTCACGTAAATTTCTATATTGCTTTTCCAAATGCAGCAGTTTGCTTTCTTAATGGTGTTTCTTTCATTGACTATTCCACTACCGTCGAAGAAAAAGTGATTCACAAATTACAACATAGCAAAATATGAAGTTAAGCCAATATTTCAAAATAAATATTCATCAAAATAAAATATATTCCATTATCTTCCTGTAGTTTTGTTAAAACTAAACAAAAAAGGTCTAAAACTGAGGGCATTTCAAAATCCGCCTTAAATTTCCATTTTAAATAAAATGAAAAATAAACAGCGAAAGTGGGATATGAAAGAAAAAAAAATATAATCAACAAGACCTCAAAAAACTGATAAAACTCCGGCACAGAGGAACAATCCGAAGCTAGTTCAATAACAGGGATCGCAAGGACGGCGCTTGGATGAAGGCCTGCCAAATGGGATATTAACTGCCGAGCTAATGGTGCCATACCATCAGGCAATATCTGCACTGCTAGGTCACAGGCCATTATTGCCTGAAAAATATTTTTTAATAATCTGAAAAACTTCCAGAAATTATAAGATTTTATTCACGTAATTTCCGTTGTTGCAAAAAAATTCAAATTCACGTGAAGGAACAAACAGAAAAGAGAATAAGGAAGATTAATTCATAGGACAGAGAAAAGCTAATAGACTTGAAAGTATATGAAATCAAGAATCATGAACAAACCTGCTGACATCCACTTGGAAGAGAAGGAACGCAGTCAACCATAATTTTACAAATACTGTCATCGTGATAATAATTAATTAGGCGACTAAAAATAGGACAAATATATTTCGGCAGGTCAACTTCGCCTTTATGTAATGAGGTTATAGCTAAATCAGCATCAGATATCAAAGTATTGCGCCTGCAACGATAAAGAGTGCATTCATATCACCACAAATACAACCTTCAATTTGTGAAGGATATACTTCCGAATTATCCATTCCAATACTGTTTAAAAACTAAAAATATCTTTTCTCCCTTCATTTCTCCCTCGGCAACCACTCCTTATATTAAAAAAATGAACGGAAAATCTCAGCAGCCATTTCCTACATTACATTTTCTTACATTAAATTTCTTACATCTTACATTTCGAAAAAAAAAAAGTGAACGAAAATGGTGGAATATGAAAAAGAACCCATGTTAGGCTTGATAACTAAATTACAAAACGAACTTGTGGTATAATGCAATTATAGCATTCTTTAGTTTTTTTATGCGTTCAGCACCCGCCGTGAAAATCAAATCCCGCACTTCTACTATCCGACACAACCGCTGCAAAATTATTTTCATGACCGGAAACCTGAAGTGATTTTTCAAGTAAGAGTACTGAAATAAAGCTTTAAGCAAATACATTAAACATGTCATTTACTATTTCGAAAACCGCATAAAGTGACCCAATTGTTGGTCCAGATCATGTGAATGGCTTTAGTTGTCTCGGTCACCAACCTAAATACCGCGCACAAACAAACTATCACCGGTTTTAAAAACCATTCAACATAGAAGTCATTCAATAAATTAAGAGGATTGAAATTTCACCAAAATAAATGCTAGAAATTACCAGAGTTCTTCTTCAATAGCTTTTGTCACTACTGCGCATATTTCGCTCCATTCAAAATCTCCATCAGTATCATTCCCAGCACGACATATTCGCACATTAATTATGTCCCCGAACTCACCAATACAAACTAACAATTGATTAATAACTGATTAATACGGAAGAAATGGCTTTAAAGATTTTAGAAATTACGACTAATAGAAAGAATAGTAATTTGCACTCAAAAAATGGTTAAAAGTTCCTTTAAGTCAATAATTACAAAAGAATAAAGCATGGTACCGGTAATTTACTGCTTGTTCCTTTGTAAAAAAACAACTGATAAATGAATGATGTAGTATAATACCCATTCGATCTGAAGGCGGATTACAAACAAGGGTTAACAATGCGGAAAATATCCGTTCTCGTACTTCGCAACCAATTTCGCGAACAAACCCATGCTGATAATGGGAATGAAGATGTTCACAAAGGATATGTGTAATATAATGAAGATGAGCGCTTCGCAAATCAGAAAAACGCTCAACTAAAACTTGACAAACATCGCTAGCTACTATTTCCATATTTTCAAAAATTTCTGAAACAAAGAAAGAAGCGATAAATCATAAAATTTCCTCGAAAATTATGAAATTATGTTATAAGCTAATTAATCGTGCTCCCGGAAAATGTTAAAATAACAGAAAGAAGAAAATACACTTCATTTCATTTGCATGAATGTGGAAGTTGTGTTATAATTTAATTAGCTCTGTTTGAGACAAACCTGCATTGTCGAGATCAAGTGCAAGGAATGAATTAGCGATCTCCATTACCATCAAAAACAGGTCATCATCCTCAGATTCACGTAAAGATACTGTTTTTGCAATATCAAATAAAACATTCAACATCTGGTACTGCAAATTAAAATTTTTTCCGGACACTAGTGGAAATGCCTACAGAGGTAATAGTTGAAATAGTTCACTGTTACATGCTTTAACCAAATCAAATTGTTTTTGTCCTGATACCAAAAAATGCTGATCAAACAAATTCTCAGGTACAGGAGATTTAGCTCTTGATGCATGATTTGTTTAGGAGTAACTGTTTTGAAATAGAGATCGCCAAAAACCTGCAGCAAGTCAATATTATCAACGGATGTAGTGCTAATCAAACAAACCTGGATTTTGGCATTATTTTCACGAACACAACCTTCAAGTATAGGACAAACTAAATCTGTAACAACTGTTCTCTCGTGTAGCCAGTGATATTTCATATAAACAGTATGTAGGACACTAACCGCTTTCTCCCTTAAATCAACATTCAACAAATACAGATAATTTAATAATGATTAAGCATTAACTTGAACAAGACGATATCGGCTGGACACAATTTTATGAAAACAAACTTGGCGACGAACCTAACTGCAGCAGGATAGTTGTTCTGAAGATGTTTTTGGACAAGTTGTTGAAGAGTGTGAAGCCAATTCGATATAAAGGGATCCAAACACTTCAAAAAATTAATTTATAGATGACAAACAGTTAAATGATTAATTGTACAATCTAGCCGTTCCCTTGATAAATTTATAATGAATAAATGATCCTTACACTGCATACCAGTCATTCAGTTGCATTAATACATCATTCAATTATGCCATTAACTACACAAAATATACCGAAATTCAAAATCAAAAAACTTACAGCCACCCGGTAATCAAATAATGCTATGATGCTTGGGACAGGGCGTTCATCGATATAACTTTCTATCAGTGAATACAGCGCTTCGGGAGAACCACCATAGTCACCATCATGATATAAATTCTCAATAATGCTGAGCAAATGATGAACACGCGACCGTTGCTCGTTAACTTTTTCTTTCCATGATATCTGTCAAACAAAAATAAAAATAACAAGGGCGGGATCCAATTTCTCCTTCCGTCTTACCCCTTCCCCTCCCCCCCCCCCTTCGAAATTACTCGTTCAGAATCGGAACTTTAGCTTT